GGGGCGACAGAGAATCATCCATCAACTAACCCCCCCATCACGCCAATCCTACATCCATCACCACACATAACCATCATCCATCTCATCCATCCATCCATCCCATCCATCCATCCCAACCATCACCCACATCCTCATCCATCACCATCCACCATCCACCATCCATCCATCCATCATCCATCTCCAATCCAACCACTCATCCATCTATCCTCACCCCACCATCCACCATCCCATCCCATCCATCCATCCATCCATCATCCATCCATCCATCACCATACACCCACCCATCCACCACATCTCTCCATCCATACCAACCCATCCATCTACCACCCACCCATCCACCCATCTCATCCATCCATCCATCCATCCACCCCACCATCCCCATCACCCATCCCACATCACCCATCATCCACCATCCACCCATCACCCACCCATCCACCATCCATCCATCCATCCACCCATCCATCCATCCACCTCACCCATCCATCCATCCACCCACCCATCCATCCACCCAACCACTCATCCATCCATCCTACCCACCACCCATCCACCATCCCCTCCTCCATCCATCCATCCTCCATCCCATCCATCCATCCACCCATCCACCATCCACCCATCTCTCCATCCATCCACCCATCCATTACCACCACCCATCCACCCATCCCTCCATCCATCCATCATCCATCCACCCACCCATCCACCATCATCCATCTCCACCCACCCATCCACCACCTCATCCCATCCACCCACCCACCCATCCATCCATCCACTCCACCATCCATCCCATCCACCCACCATCCATCCATCCACCCACCCATCCATCACCCACACTCATCCATCCATCTACCCACCACCCATCCACCCATCCCTCCATCCCTCCATCCATCCCCCCACTCCCCCACATCTACTGTCTGTCTCTCTGAGCACCCCTGGTTAATGCCACCCCTCCCGCCCCCCGCAGCAGGGGAAGCAAGCACTCACTCGCCCTCTGGTGCCAGCGTGCAGCGTGGAGGTACTTCCCGCAGTAATGAAACAGGAACTCGTGTGCCGAGTGCACGTCCGCTCCTTGCAGCAAGGGGACCAGGCTGCGGCCGTCGATCACCCTGGTTCAGAGAGGAGACCACAGAGCACAGTCGGACCAGGGATGCTCGGGCGGCCCTGTGCACCTGGGAACGTGCTCCAAGGCTGCAAGGGTCCCCAGCTGCCAGCAGGTGGCGCACAGACAAGCTTGCCCCCAGTGGCTGCTCACACTGCAAGTTGCTGAGCAAGATACATGTTGTTACTTTTAAGACACAAAGTCACCAGGCTCTGGGCTCACTCATTACGCAGCGCTACAGAAACAGAACACCACACACACACACACACGTGCGCACACACACCCCAACACGGAGCACTGTGACCTTCGATCTTAACACAACATCTGTCTTCTCAAATTCCACCTTCCTAGGTTAACTGTTCCTACTTTTTTTTTTTTTTTTTGAGACAGAGTCTCGCTCTGCTGTTGCCCAGGCTGGAGTGCAGTAAGTAGCATGATCATAGCTCACTGCAACCTCAAACTCCTTGGTGCAAGTGGTCCTCCTGCCTCAGCCTCCCGAGTAGCTGGGACTATAGGCACACGCCACCACGCCCTGCTAATTTTTCTATTTTTTGCAGAGACAGGCTCTTGTTCTTGCTCAGGCTGGTCTTGAGCTCCTGAGTTCAAGGGATCCTCCTGCCTCAGCCTCCCAAGTAGTTGGGACTACAAGTGCATGTCACGATGCACAATTAATTTTTCTATTTTTAGTAGAGACAGCGTCTCGCTCTTTCTCAGGCCGGTCTCAAGCTCCTGACCTCAAGCCATCCTCCTGCCTCTCGGTCTCCCAGATTGCTGGGATTACAGGCGTGAGCCACCGCACCTGGCCTCCTGTTCTTGTTTTTTAATCATAATGGATTCCAAGACACATGGTCACATGTGGAAATCAAGTGAACAAGTGAAGCCAACAAAGGGCCTGTGACCTAGAGCTCTCCTTCTTACAAAAAACCTTTTCTAAAAATAACTTTTAAAAAGTCAAAAGTCCTTAATCTGAATTTAACGTAGAAATGCAGTGATGTTCCATCAAATGGTGAAGCACTGTTACCCTGCTGTTGTATTTTTATTTATACGTTTCCTATGCCAACCCGGCTAGCACGCAGCGCCCACTTGTTTAGCCTAATAGTAGCTTGGATGTTGCAGTTTTGTGTGTGTGATGAACATCTGCAGTCAGTTGACTTTCAGGAAAGGAGACGGCCCTCCATTACGTGGGTGGGCCGCATCTAATCAGTCGACGGTGCTAAGAGCAAAGACTGGGGTTTCCTGGAGAGGATGGAGTTCCACCTCAGGGCTGCAATGTAGAAACCGTGCCTGGGTTTCCAGTCTGCTGGCCTGCTTTGAGGACTTTGGAGTGGTCAGCTCTCACAGTCATGTGAGCCAATTCCTTAAGACATATAAATATATATATATTTCCATATATTTGCATGCGTATATTTGCATATATCTCCATATTTGCATGTATGTGTATATTTCCATATGTTTTGCATATATTTGCAAATATATGTATAATTGTATATATTTGCATATATGTATATTTCCACATATTTGCATATATATGTCAGTGACACTTTGCCCATACAATGGCGGTCCCATTAGATTATAACGGAGCAGAAAATTCTATCGCCTAGTGACATCATAGCCATCCTAATGTTGTATCCCAATGCTACCACCTTTTCTAAGTTTAGATACATAAATGCTGGCCATTGTTTTTCACAGTTGCCTACAGCATTCAGTGCAGCAGGAACATGCTGCACAGGTTTGTAGCGAGGGAGAAACGGGCTGTGCCATATAGCACGGGTGCTAGGAGGCTCTGCCATCTATCAATAGATTGTGCATTGCAGCCTGTGTCCACAGAGACAAAGTGAACACATCATGTATTTCTCAGACCACAGCCCCATCCTTAAAGAATATGTATAAGTGTGTCTTGATATATATGCATAGTCGTATACATATATGTGCATATATATATTTGTGTTATATATGAGACAAAAATGTATATAAGATATATATTTGTATCCATATATATCTGTTTATATATACTTGTACTGTATATATATTTATTTGTATTCATACATATGAGATATATATATGTCAAGACACACATATATAGTTTTTTATACACATAGACACATTTATACTTATATATATTTGTATACATATGTATCAGGACACACACATATACTTTTTATACACACACATATATGTTTATATATATTCATTTACATACATATATTAAGACACACGTATATATATTTGTACACACACACATATATTCATATATATATTTGTGTACATATGTATATCAAGACACACATATATTATACATATACACATATAGATTTATATAAATTTATATATAAAAACATATATAAACATATATATTTATATATGTGTGTATATACACATGTATATTTTTTATACACGCACACACATCCCGTTGGTCTGTCTCTCTGGAGCACCCTGATAACACTAATATAATAAAATGCTTTTAGGGGAGAAGAAGTTAGAGATGGGACACCCCGCATAATTGCACCTTACACAGGAGTATTTGCTACCTTAAAGGGAGTAAAATCAAATCATTACCCAAATCCTCATTTCTATTCTTCTCTCTCGTATCAAGCTGGCTCTCTCACAGTGTGCCAATGTCGAGGCGATAAACCATCCTAAAAATCGCATTTTCGTAACCTCGCCAACACGCGGGCGAGACCGTATTTCAGGGAATCGTAGGGAGACGGACATTCCCTCGTGGGCCACACGCCGGCGGTCTAACCTCCCGGCTGTCACGCCGGGGTGCAGAATTTTACCGACCGACCATGGGAAACGAGGGGCATGACCGAATATTTAGTCTTCGATTCCACCGGGCGTGGTCCTGTCTCCTAAACTGGAGGGCGGGACTAGTTTGGTCGCAGTTCCGACACGGCTCTGGTCACCCCGCCTCCCGCAATGACACGGGAGAACGGACAAAGAGCTCTCGGAAACCAGGGCAGGGGCGTCCTCCCCAACACGCACCTGTCCTGGGGCACCTGGCCGCCCCCCAGCTGCACCACGGTGGGGAACACGTCCATCAGACTGGTGGGCTCGGCGACGACCCGTCCGGCCGGCAGCGCCCCGGGCCAGCGGACAATCCCCGGCACGCGGATCCCGCCTTCCCAGCCCCCCATGCCTTTGCCACCTGCGGGAGGAAGACAGCCGTGAGGCTTTTGCAGACAACCGTCACTCTACACGCACCGCCGGCTGTAGGTGTGTGGCCGTAGGTCTGTGCACGCACACACCCACATGCACGTACATGCTCACGGTGCACCCCGTTTCCCGACGCCGGGGACGGCGATGTTTGCAAAATCTTACCCGGATATCCGCGGGTCTCTGTGGCTGCTTCAGCTCTCTCTGTCTGGCTCTCCATCTGTCTCTGTCTCTCTGGGTGTCTCTCTCCCTCCCCCTCTCCTCCGTCTCCCCATCCTTCCCTTTCGCTCTTTCTCCCTCCTTCCCGCTCAGTCCTGTGGTCACCCTGGCACCCACAGTCCACGTGGAGAGGAAGCCTAGACCACACACGGCTCCCCAGTGTAGCTGTTCTCGTGCTCCCATGCCAAACTTGCACGCACCGCAGCGTCCCTGACTGCCAAGGAGGACTCAGTTGTACCGAGTCACGCAAGGGGAACCGAGGACGTGGGGATCTTCAAAGCCCTCGGAGAGAGAGAGACGCAGGACCATCGTTTCCTGAGAGAAGGGACCTGCCTTGGATGTGCAAACACAGAAAGGACACGTGTTCACGGGATCAGCCGACACAGGACGGCCGAGCACCTGGGACCCCGGCTAGGAAGCTGTAGGCCAGGTGGCTGCAGATTTCCACCACTCTTTGCTTTTGCAAATAACTGCAAAAGCCCCATGAGCATTGGTGTTGAGGTTACAAACACATTTTAGTGAGTAGGAGAAGTCACCCATGCGGAACCCAAGCTCATCAGGGACCGAATATAAGAGACTTTAAGTGACCTACAGAGTCAACGCAATCCCTATTAAAATACCATCATCGTTTTTCACAGACACAGAAAAAATAGTTTTACGCTTCGTGTGGAACCAGAGGAGACCCCGTATAGCAAAGGCAATCCTAGGCAATAAAAACAAAACAGGAGGTATCAATATCACAGCCTTTGAACTACACTACAAGGCTATAGTGAGATAGGTAGTGTGCATTGTATGTGTTAGGTGTCGATATACCATTTCTTCTTCCCCCTCTCATCTGCCCAATCCTCAAAGAATGTTATTTCCATACGTGCACATAAGTGTGATGATTAGTTCCAATTTGCTGTGAGTCCGTGGGGTGCTTGTTTTCCCATTCTTGGATACTTCACTTAGTAGAATGGGCCTCCAAGCTCCATCCAGGATAATATAAGAGGTGCTAGATCACCATTATTTCTTAAAGCTGAGCAGAACTCCATGGTGTACATAGACCACATTTTATTAATCCACTCATGCATTGATGGACACTTGGATTGTTTCCACATCTTCGCAATTGTGAATTGTGCTGCTATGTACATTCGAGTGCAGGTGTCTTTTTTATACAATGTCTTTTTGTCCTTTGAGTAGATGCCCAGTAGTGGGATTGCTGGATCCAATGGTAGTTCTACTTGTAGCTTTTTGAGGTATCTCTACACTATTTCCACAGAGGTTGAACTAGTTTGCAGTCCCACCAGCAGTGTAGGAGTGTTCCTCTCTCTCTGCATCCACGCCGGCATTTGTTGTTTTGGGACTTTTTTATAAAACCATTCTCACTGGAGTTAAGTGATATCTCATTCTGGTTTTGATTTGCATTTCCTTGATGCTTAGAGAGACATTGAACATTTTTTTTGTATGTTTCTTGGCCATTAGTCTGTCTTCTTTTGAAAATTCTCTGTTCTTGTCCTTAATGGGGTTGTTTGATTTTTTTTCTTGCTGATTTTCCTGAATTCTATATAGATTCTAGTTATCACCCCTTTATTGGATGTATGGCATGCAAATATTTCTCCCATTCTATAGGTTGTCTATTTCTCTAAATGATAGTTTACTTGGCTGTGCAGAAGCTTTTTAATTTGATAGCTCCCATTTTTTTATTTTTGTTGTTGCTGTGGTTACCTTTGAGGTCTCCTTCAATAAATTATTTGCCTAGGCTGATGTCTAGAAAAGTATTTCCAACATTTTCTCTAGAATTCTAATAGTTTCATACCTGAGGTTCAAGTCTGTTATGCAGCGTGAGTTGATTTTGTGAGAGGTGAAAGGTGTGGGTCCTGTTTCAGTCTTCTGCATGTGGCTATCCAGTTTTCCCAGCACCATTTATTGAATAAGGATTCTTTTCCCCAGCGTATGTTTTTGTCTGCTTTGTCAAAGATTAGTTGGCTATATGAGGATGGTTTTATATCTGGGTTCTCTGTTCTATTCCACTGGTCAATGTCCCTGTTTCTTGTGCGAGTACCAACTGTTTTAATGACT